GTAGAAAATTGGCAGCGACTGGGCGGTACATTTAGAACAGCTCGCTCAGCTGAAACAATGGGCCAAGGATCCAGTTTTCCAGCGCAGCATTACGAAAGTGAAACAAGAAAATAAATTGAGATTAGCGCAAATGCTTGAGAAAGATTATGGAGTTAAAATAAATCCTGCTTCTATCTTTGATATTCAGGTAACTGTATTAAGTTGACGTAATTAAGTTTATATGCAAATAAATTATTTAATTTCTATATAATTATTTAATATGCGGTACCATAATATAGGTGAAGCGAATACATGAATACAAGAGGCAACTATTAAATTGTTTACACGTAATCACATTATACAACAGAATAAAAAAAAATCCAACCGCGCCATTCGTTCCTCGAACGGTGATGATTGGAGGAAAAGCTGCTCCCGGTTATCATTTAGCCAAAAAGATTATAAAGCTAATTTGCAGTGTAGGAAACGTTGTAAACAACGATCCTATTGTTGGAGATAAATTGAAATTTATTTTCTTAGAGAATTATCGAGTTACGTTAGCGGAGAAAATAATTCCAGCAGCAGATTTGAGTGAACAAATTTCTACTGCAGGTACTGAAGCTTCGGGTACCGGAAATATGAAGTTCATGGTAAGTATACTTTAATATGCAATTTATATATGCGATTTATAACAATAAGTGAATATTCTGTTTTAAATTACTTTAGTTAAATGGAGCCTTGACAATTGGCACATTAGACGGTGCTAACGTAGAGATGGCTGAAGAAATGGGTACAGATAATATATTCATTTTCGGTATGACTGTTGATGAAGTCGAAGAGTTGAAGAAAAGGGGATACAATGCTTATGATTATTACAATAGAATCCCAGAACTAAAACAGTGTGTTGATCAGATCCAGGGTGGCTTCTTCAGCCCCAATAATCCAGACGAATTTAAAGATATTACCAATGTTTTATTAAACTGGGACAGATTTTATTTGTTTGCTGATTATGAGAGCTATATAAAGATGCAAGATCATGTCAGTAAAGTTTACCAGGTAAGTTCATACCGGAATCTTTTTCAGGATAATTTTTATATATTTTTTTAATTATTGTTTTATATATTTCCATTTTGTGTTTTAGGATGAAAGTAAGTGGGTAGAGATGGCGATCAATAATATAGCTTCTTCGGGAAAATTTTCATCGGATAGAACGATTGCCGAATATGCTCGTGAAATTTGGGGCGTTGAACCATCTTGGCAACGACTTCCTGCACCTCATGAGCCGCGGGACATTTAAATTATAACTTTCCTAGATATTTTACGATGTTACTTCTTGCATACGTTATTAACATTTTTTAATCCGTTTTCTTTTTAACAAATGGATAAAATTCTTCCACGAACGAGCGTGAGCAGTATCACTATTTATTACGTAAATTACGTTTTATTTGAAAACGTGTGTAATATCTGAAATTTCTTAAAAAATGTTATTAGCTACTAATCATTGATCAACCATAACAAAGATATAAAAAAGAAATTTATCATGTCTTATATTCTAGAACACAAAATATTTTATGATATGTCTCTTGAACAAACACAACAGATACAATCTAGTCGACAAAAAAGATAATAGTGGCATCAGAAATGATTTTATTCATATTTTTCTACTTGTAAATAAAATACCTGCAACAAAGATAAAAGATAATAATGAATCTATCAACTGTTAAATAATTAAAAATTTTTAAGACAAGATGATAAGAAAAATATACATTATTTATTTAAAATTTTGATTCCTTTGTGATGTGATCTTATTATTAACATTTAATTATATGTTTACAACATGCGAAAATTTACTAGTAATTACCGTTTTCTAATATTTTAAAATGCTCATTGTCAAGTTTTGAGAGAATTACTATATTTGAAAAGAGAAAGAAAAATAATTCTTCTCTATATATTTAACTCAATAAAGCATGTGTTATAAAAATATTTGGGCCCACTTTTTATATCAAAACAATTGTTACATTACACTCTAAGAGAGTAAATAAATATTAAAGAAATTTAAATTTTTGTATTGAAATCGATGAAGTATAAAGTGTTTTTTTAAATATGTGCCTTCAATCGAATCAAATATATTTGTAAATGCATCAGAAGTAAATAGAAGAAAGATATCGCGTGCACGAAAACGCAGCTTGAAATATGGCAATGTTCCAATAAATCATTTTTCGAACTTATTAAAGAGAGCATGTCTGTACATCAAACTGAAATTTTCGTGCAAACAAAAGAAAACGCTCTTCGTGAATTTTCGTTTGTCGATGAAGAAACAGTGCCGTTAGTGAGTATCGATCGGTAATAAAAGAATTGAGTCATAGATAACATAAATGTAGATTTTCCAATTTAAAATGTAGTTGCAAATATCTAACCTATTCTACATATTATATGTATTTACATTATTTAGTACCTTAAGTATGTGAACTTGATTATTACATTGATAACTAAATCTTCAGTCGAGTTAAATTTGCATTGCTTTAAGTAATATAATTAACTAATTATTCGATTAATATGTCAATGATCTTTATCAGTTTGATTTACTAGGTTAGAGGTATATAAATACATCGTAATCATAATGAACACATATATATACGATAGTATAATGATATAACATTGTATATACATAATTCTGATACATATGACTTGACTACGGACATTTATGCATTTGTGACAAGTATAAATATACAAATATATACAAAAATATACATATGCATGAATGTAAAAATATATAAAACATCAAGACTAAAGTATATGTCACAATATGCAGAGAATAAAACTGTTTTATTTAAGTTTCAATTCTTTATCTATATCTGCAATAATATGAATTCGCACAAATATCTGCAGTCTAATCATAATCTACTCTCTCTTTGGCAATTATATTTAGCACTAAAGAATTATAAGACGAGATTTTCAACCGAAAAATTCTATAAAATTGATCAATAACTGATGAATGTATACATAATATTATTAGTACTGCATATTTATAGTATGGTTAGTCTTGAATAATAATAAACTACATATATATACAGTACATACATATGTATGTATAGTACATATACACAAGTTTGAATCAAACGTCTACGTAAATTTTTACTCAATATTTTCTGTCTTAGCTTTTAATTCAAAGGCTAGTTTTGTTTCAGGAAAAATACATTTAAAAGTTATGCTGTAAATTTACAATGAATTGCATTTATACTAAAATCATGAAACGAAAATATCTTCAGAGTAGGTATTAAGAAATTTCAAAAAAGCGTTTCTTTAATCTTATCTTTTTTCTTGTTTAGATTCAAGTAGTTGTGAATGATTATCTTGTACTAAGAAAAGGAAGATGAAAACTTGCACATGTAATAAAATGATTCTCATGGCGACTAATGTCGAAGATTCGTATTCGGATTCCGAATAGTTTATATGTATTGTGCTTATGTATAGTTTCTCAACATTCATCCCATCCTATTCCTTTTTAAATTTTCCGCTTGTATCTTTATTTTCAAACTACATGTCCTTAATAAACGAAGATTATTTTATTAACTACGATATTTTATCTTGGAATATCCAGCATATATAACGTTCTAGTATGAAATCAAATGATACCGAAGAACTAAGTTACGTTCTCTCCATATTTCCTATTTTTATTATAACCTTTTAATAAAGTTTAAAACGATTTGTGAATATATAACATTTTTGTCTTGTTTATACTACAGAACATTCTAACAAAGACTAGTAAAGAATTGAAACGTTCTATATAATAACTTAATAAGTTATATAATATAAGTTATATAAGTTATATAGAAGTTATTATATAGTTAAACTTATCAAATTTAAAGCGCAAAGGTATTTCGAAATACAAAACATATTCGTGTCATATTTTGATAATTATACATAAGCGTAGATTAATTTAATTTGCATTAAAAGTTTGTCTTATATACAAGATATCTCGAAAATATAATTTATAGTAATAAAGTATTAATATAAATACTTTTTTGTGTAATATATATTTCTTTAACTATAAATATATGCACGCACTCTATTCCAGAATGCTTCAAAACCAGTTCCATTGCAACCTTTGAAACCAACATCAGCTGTAGTGGTTACAGGCTATGTTCCTCCCAATGCTTTGAGGTGATATCTTATCGTAAGAAAAATCTCATAACCAAAATTTTTTTAATTTTAAAAGTCATTAAAATAAACAGGAAAATTACAATCATGAAGCTGTAAAATCACAATTGTAATATTCGTTAAAACACAATTGCCACAGATTTTCAGTGAACTTATTATGCAAAACTACCGGAAATATCGCATTACATTTCAACGCACGATTAGACAGGGGTTATGTGGTTCGAAATTCGAAATTTAGGGGATGTTGGGAAGAAGAGGAAACCTGTTCTCCTGCAGGGCATACCGCTTTCCGCCGGAACTCCTATGTTCATATTTTGATATTTTGTACTGCCAATGAATATCAAGTGAGAAATGAGAGTTATTTAACATAACTATCAATTTTATAGTACTTATATTTATTCGAAATTAATTTTCCTTTTACTAGATTGCTGTCAATGCAGAACATTTTTGCGCATTTGCGTATAGAACGCCTCTTGAAGATGTAATGTATCTTGAAATAAATGGATCATTGGAAGACACTCGGTTTAGGCAGTTTGAATTGTTCGTTTATCCTGATCCAAAGTTATGCAGGCCAAGTAACGTTTTAAGTTTAAAAATTGATCGACCACTGGTCGAATTTCTTGTAAGTCTTTTTTAAATTACTAACTTGTGTTTTTTTTACTAGTTGAAATATCAATTATTATTAAATATTCTGTATGTAGGATATTCCAATTACGGTAGATATAGAAAATGAATTTAAAACCGGTACTAGGCTTTTCATTGCTGGAAGACTGAAACTTCTGCCTCATTCGTGAGTGTTGATGATCTTTCGAGAAATAAATAAATTTGCAAAGAAGAGGAAAGAAAGAATAAAGAATAATTTGTTTCTATATTTGCTAACAGATTTTATGTAAATTTACAAAAGGGAAAAGCAGTTTATCCACATCCGACAATTGCGTTGCATTTAAATCCACGTTTTTTATATGGCAGTAGCGCACCCTATGTCGTTATGAACTGTTGGTCAAATGGATCTTGGGGACGCGAAGAAAGGCACTCAGGTCATCTATCCTGGATGCCTGGTCGTGATTTTCTTCTAACGTAGGTTTTTCCATCTTTAAAAAATACAAAATACGATATGCATGAAACTTTAACTAACTAGGTCAAGTCTAATTGAAGATATTGTTATAAATAATTACTAATTACTTTTTGAAAATTCGAGTAACTTGTTGACTTTCTGACTGCAATTTTTTATGATTTTCCTTTTATAGAATTCGGTGCGAAATCGAAGCATATACAATATGGTTAGGCGAAAAAATGATTGGTGAATTCAAACATAGATTACAACCAACTATCATCGATACTCTTAAAATATCCGGAGACATCGTACTTCATGATCTAGCCATGATTTATTCAAATTAAGCTCTATTACTTGTTATTCATTTTAATAAAATGGCATTTACCTTTTAACTTACCCTTCTCATATAAAACTAAATATCATTTGTCCTGCATTTCACAAAGGCATAAAAATGTTCTCATTTTTAAGTAATGTAACATCAATGACTTATTGTTGGTAATATTTATGTAATGAAAGAAATAATATTGATAATAAAAATTTATCATTAATGCATTAATATTCTTAATATCTTCAGTTGCATAAATATATAATTTAAAATAATATAATAATAAAATTTTATTTATTCTTTATCTGAGAAGTAGATCTCTAGAGCATAAAATTATTTAAAATTATTTAAATACCTGCACATCAAAAGTATCTTATAAAGCAACGTTCTTTTTATTAGTTTTTTATTTTTTATTGCTTTGTTACTGAATTAAAATATATCAAATACTCATTAACTGAAATTATTGTAATTCAGGAACTTTTAATTTTAATTTCAATTTTAATTATAATTTTAATTTTTTATTACCTATTTCTTCATGATATATTTGACACCTTTATTATTATCAAGGAAATGAGAGTGCTCATGTTTATGTTTTCGGTTGTTTCTAGACCAGTGCTGCCCATAGCGGATAAATGCTGAAGGTATTCCACGCTAGCATGTACAAAAACCTATTTAGTTCCATCACAAACGACAAAAAGAGAAATTAATTGTTTATTATATTTGTCCTTACTGAAGAAGAGAAAATCTTTCAAACGATAAAGAATCAGTCGAATGACCCAATAATTCTAATATACTCTCTATTTACGATAACTTTTTAGATTTAACATTAAATTTATTTTTCTCTCGATAATGTTTTTGTTATAATAAAATATAAATTTCATTTTAACAGTAATTTCAACAGTTGATAGGCTGCAAATAATATTTTTATATCATTTCTATATTAATAAATCGAAATTCAGGTTTCATTATAACAAGAACATTATCGCAAAGAAAGTAGATTTGTGTATAAAAGATATATTAAAATTATTGCGTCATTCCACTGATCCACCATCGTTCGAAAGGAAAGATCTTTTTGCTTCTCAAAAAGATTATAATAAACAATTAATTTCTCTTTCTGAAACAACTAAGTTTAATTATTGTGTAATTTTATTATTTTGAAATATTTGATGATTTTAAAATATAATATTATTTATACTTGTCTATTTCGGATAGAAGTTCGGATAGGCTCTTGTAAATAGGTTCTTGTATATGCTATCATGGAACATCTTCAACATTTAGCTACGTGGTGCAGCACCTATACTGTGAGACAAATAGAACAATGCACGTGGCATTTTGATTTCCTCTCTGTTATCATATATTCTCATCGGACATATTTTTTGACTGGAGCGTCTATATAGTTTAGGAAGAGTGAATGAGTGTGGTGACATGGTACAAAAACGGAAACTTTACAGCAGTTTCAGATTTTCGGTTGTTATGTGAATGGATTAGTTTTAAAGCAGATATTAATATTATTTAAGGTTATTACACAAATATATAGGTATGTTAATAGACGTGTAATATAATATGTTTTGAGATATTTGGAAAATTAATAAAACGAGAAGAGATAAAAATATTTTTAACAACATATGATTTATTCTTCGTGCTGATTGAGATTAGTTTATTTATTTATTATACTTTCCAGAATTTGTTTTCCTCTAGCTTTTATTGATATTAATTAAAATATAAATATAAATGGAAAGATTCATTGTTATATTATTATCATAACCGGTTTGAAAAAATCATGTTCTTTTATAAAAAGTTGTATTAGTAAACAATGTTTCTATTTTTTCATGATTTTTATATAATTCTTGTCTCTCTTTCAGCTTTTGAAGTATTTATTAAAAGCTGTTGAAACATGTCTGTATATCTACCAAAAGAATCATTATACACCCCACGTAGAGTGCAAAAATGTTTATTTGGATCAGATGAAAGTTCAAAGAAAAAGAAGATCTGTAGAATTCAAAGAGATTTAAACTATTCAAACAGTTCATCTGGAGAAGAGTCAGATTTGGGGCCTATGAATGTTATGGAGCATTCTCCACAAAAGGGAATATTACTAGATTCACCAAAATTTCTGTCTAACTCTCCATTCAACAATTCTAATAAGCAGACATCAAATCAGACAATACTCGATACATCAGAAAGACAATTTGGCATAGAGCTGCAGAATAGTATAATAGAAACACCACATAAGTCTAGAAGTCCAAAAAACAAATTAATAACATCATTAAATTTAAATAGTAAAATATCCTTACCAAGAGTTCATAGGCGTAAATCGCTTAATATTCTTGGTATCATTGAAAATTCACCTGAGAAAAAAAAAAATAATTTAAAGAGACATGCATTTGAAGAATTAGAAAATACAGTTACAAAATTGCTAAAAACTGATGAAAATTATTTAATACCAAAAGCTAGAGCAGCTTTATTTCAAGATAGAGATTATAAATCAAAACTGAAGAATGTAACACTCAGTACTAGAAATTTTTATAGTAATTCTGAGACCAAACGTGACTATAAAATCATCTCTGAATTAGCAGAACAAAAACGACGAGTGAGTTTTATAAAACATGCATCCAACTATAAAAGATCTATGAAAAAACATACAATAGGAGGAATTAACGCTGGTGTGTCACATGGTATTAAGAAACCAAAACTGAAAACACATTTAGATATAAAACATAATAATAGTACAGGGATGATTAATGTACAATATACGAATATACAAGAACATTTTTCAAAAAAAGAAGAGCAAAGAACAGAATTATTAAGCTCATCTCCAGAAGAAAGAATTTTATCACCAGAAATTGATCTTAATAAACGCTTTTTCAAAATTAAAAGGTCGTCAAAGAGAAATTCTTCAGCTATAGTAACTATAAATAATAATGTAAAATTAAAGATTCAGTCAGATGGTAAAATGGCACTAAATCAAAAGAGTAGTAAACAGGCTTATAGACAACCGAAACATGTAGATACTTCTTTTGATGCAACTGATTTGTCAGTAGATGAACCAGAATTGGAAACTGCCATAGAGAAAGAAAAAGTAAGTAATATATTAAAAATTTTGGAGAACGATTGGGCTAATGATGATTATGATACTATGGAAGTACTAATTAATGAGAGGCATGAGCATATTTCACCATTAAAGCCAGTAGCAGTATTGAATGACGTTACTATGTCACCAGCAAGTGAACTTAGTACTATGACTTCAACTATGAATATTAAGGACATTAGTACACCAACAGTTCACAAAAATATTTCTTTGGACAATAATGAAGTTACATCAGAAGAGAAATATTATCCATTATTTAATAAAACTTACTCGCTCAATAAAATTTTGAGGTAAGTAAAATATTTAAAATACGGATTAATTTCTGAATCACCTTTCATAATATTATGGATCTTTTAGTGGAAATAATAAAAAATCCACATTTAATGCAAAAGAAACTACAAATTGGCAATTGTCTATGAAACTAAATGGCGATGACAATCAATATCAATTGGATGCAGGGCAAAAAAATTTTGGAGCAACACAATGTACTGAATGCGGTATTGTATATCAAATTGGGGATCCAGAAGATGAAAATGCTCATTTAAATTATCATAATAATAAAAAAAGTTTAAAATTTTCCGTACGTATAAATTACATGCATGTAGTTTGTGTAAATAATGTATTTGACATTCCACCTAAGAAATTATTTTTAGGGTTGGAAAACAGAACGTGTAATTATGGAGGATCCATTTACATTAAGTCGAGTAATCTTGGTAGAATCAAGTGATCCAAAAATATGTTGGAAGAAAGTAAAAGAAGTTTTAGAATATGTTGACAGAGATTTAGGATTAGCTTGCACAAAATTACCGGATTACGAGGAGAAAAAAGTAATGTCGAAAAATATATCAGAAAGCAATTTCCTTGCACTATAAATTTGATTTCGTTCTGATATTCTTTATTTATTCTTTAGGTGTATTTATACATTAGGGACAAAGCTATTATAGGAGTATTAGTCGCGGAACATATAACGACTGCACATCGCATGATCCCTGAATTACTAGAATTGGACTGCTGTACAGCAGAAAGTAGCCCTGCAAAATGTGGTATCAATGTTGTATGGACGGATTTAAATCATCGTAGACAGGGGATAGCCACAAAATTGATCGATATATTACGGTAAATATTTTTATTTTTATAAATAATTTCGAAAATATTTGCATAATTAATCAATATATTTAATATAAACTATTTCAGAGCTCATTTTTATTTTGGTTATGTAATGCCTATAGATGACATAGCGTTTTCAATTCCAACTCCGAGTGGAAAAATATTTGCTGAAAAATATACCAAAACACGGAATTTCAAAGTGTATAGTTAAATGTTATTTTTGATAAAAAAAAAAGTCTATCAAAATTTATGGTAATAGTACTATTTATCATTCATCTGTTACTAAGTCTATGTACAAACAATAATATTGTCACACAACTTATTATACTGATAGGTATTTACAGAGAACTTGTTTATTTTTTTATTATTTTAATTATTCTTCGTTCAGTAAATGAATAATTGCAAAATTTCTGTCACTTTTGTTTTTAAATCTTTCTGTTAACAAAATTGCTTTTTATGTTAATTATTTCTGAACGAAGTTTTTAAATATTTTGATATTGCTATTCTAGAATTGCTACTAGTGTGTTTGAATTGATTACCACTCTGTTACTGTGAAAATTCAAATATGCATGTATATGCAAATATTAAATGATAATTCTTTTATTCAAATCGTAATATTTGTGGACCAAGTATACAAATTTTTAAATATTTTAATATTGCTATTCTAGAATTGCCATTAGTGTGCTTGAATTGATTACTACTCTGTTACTGTGAAAATTAAAATATGCATGTATGTGCAAATAAATATTAGGTAATAATTCTTTTATTCAAATACGTAATTTTCTGTGTAACATGACAAACAGAAAAATAAGTTCATAAATTTTTATGTTTTACATCTAACCTCTATAATAACTTTATTAAAGTAACAGTTCTTACTTCCAGTACCACTTCCACGTTTGTAAAAAGAAAAGAATAAAAAATAACATATCAATATTTCATACATATAACATTATTGTCATATATAATATAATAATAATCTTGTATGTAATTTATATTTTTATTTAGTTTATATCCAAAATATAAACAATTAATACACTTCTGCAAAATAGCCGCATGTTATAAAAGTGTCCTTAATTTCGAAATAATTATCGATTTAATACATTTACATTCAATAAAAAAAATTTATATCATTCTGTATTCGTTTTTGTTAAATATATATACTTATTATTATATTAATACACTTCTTCAACACGATAACGCATGTTATAAAAGTGTCCTTAAATTACCTTGAAATAATAATTATCGATTTAATACATTTACATTAAAAAAAATGCATATATTTCTGTTTTTCTTACATACATATACTTAATAAGTATAACTTAACCTGAGTGAGTAGGAACTGTATAAATGCAGGTAGCTTTTCAGACTAAAACCATCTTCTCCAACCTCCTCCTCCTCCTCCTCCTCCTCCTCTTCTGTTTCCGCCGGAGCGTCTTTCAGTAGCTCGCTTCTCCTTCCATGCTTCATATCTATCGGCCATGTGGTATAATTCTTCAGGTACTATCTGCAAAGACAAAGATTTACATATGTAAATTTATATACATATAATCAAATTTTCATATAAACATATAAATATACTAAAATATACTTGATTGGCCTCTTCTAAAATATTAATTAGTTCCTTCGCATGAGACCAGTCGCTGCGGGTCATGTAAGTAATACTCTCACCGGTACGACCAGCGCGGCCGGTACGTCCAACACGATGAACATATTCTTCTATATCCCGTGGAAAATCAAAATTTAAAACATGCCTAAAAATAATGTTTTTTTAAAAGGTTTCTTCTAAAATTTAAGTTTGGATCAGATTCTAAATAATATAAAATCAGACGTACGTAATATCTTCAATATCGATTCCTCTACTGGCGACATCTGTCGCCAATAATATTCTAGCCTCTCCAGTTTTTAATTCCTCTAATGCTTGTTCTCTATCAGCTTGTTCTCTTCCGCCATGTATACTTGAACAATTAACAGACATCAAAGCTAAATCACTCGCTACATCATCTACCTTAGCTTTCTTTGCAAAAAATATTATTACTTTATCATTTGGTGCCATGTCGCGAAGGAATTGATGCATCTATTGAAAAAAAAAAAAAATGATAATATATGTGTTTTAGTATAAGATTCAATAAGATTCAAAGAATTTTTCATTATATTAACCATATCAGTCTTATCATTTTCATCAATAATATAAATCTTCTGCAGCACTGTATGTACAGCAACTAAGTCCAACGATCCAACATATACCTGGATTGGATTTTTCATATACGATTTCGCCAAACGTCTGACACTCATCGGCCATGTGGCGCTAAAATGTAAAAGCGCTCTATTGTTATTTGTTATCACATAGAAAATATTTAAAAAATTGTTTATTAATAATAAATTTGATATACCTCGTCATAACAGTTTGTCTATCTGGCCTTACGTCTATTAAAGCTTTTCTAATTTGTGGTTCAAATCCCATATCAAGCATACGATCAGCTTCATCTAAGACGAGGTATGAAACGGAAGAAACGTTTAAAACCTCTGTGCGTACAAGATCGTTTAGTCTACCAGGTGTAGCAATAACTATTTCTACACCTTCTGTTACCACAGTAACTTGTTTTTTACGACATCCGCCTCCATATATACATACCCTTTAATAATAAATTATTTATCAATATATCCTTGTACATGCACGTTTCAAAATGAAAATATAATAAATTTTACTTACGCCTTTATGCCATGATAGGAATATTTGTTTACTTCTTTCTCAATTTGCAAGGCTAGCTCTCTGGTAGGTGCTAGAACAAGGACAGTTGGTCCTTTCCGCTCTGGTCTCGGTGTTATCTGGCCTTCGATATGGATCAAAGCAGGCAGTAGAAATGCCAAAGTTTTCCCTAAATATCAATAAAATAATTTCCTCTATACTCTTTTTCTTTCTTCTACTCTTTTCTTTATTCTACTCATTAGACAAAACTACATTACAATATACCTGTCCCTGTTTGTGCAATGCCAATAAGGTCTCTGCCACTAAGAAGAATAGGCCATGCTTGACACTGTATTGGGCTTGGTTGAGCAAATTTTTGTTTTCTAATTTCTTCAAGTATTTCAGGGTAATCCTATAACATTTATATTGTAGTCTATATTTTTCATAAATATTTATTCAAATATTTTTACTTACTTGAAAGGCCTGTTCAAATGTTTCGATAGGGTTGGGTATACTTAATACTTCAGAAGTATCTTCTTCATCATCAAGCACAATGTGCACTTCTATATTATTGTTTGCCTTTCGAAAAGCATCTACTTGCTCTGATGTCAAATTAGCAATTATTGGATCCTCTTTGTAAAAATTTTTAACAATAGGAGTACACTTTGCCCACTTTTGTCTGTGATATTCATCCTAATCAGAAAAAGATGATGCATATACAAAGAAATTAAATTTACTTTATAATTTCATAGAAACTTACATGATCCCTGCTTATTTGTTGCCAATCAAGATCAAGAAATCTTTCATCCTCTTTCTCTTGTTTATTTTCCTCTTGCTCATTTTTCTTTTGCTCGTTTTCCCTTTGCTCATTTTCCTTTTGCTCATTTTCCTTTTGCTCATTTTCCTTTTGCTCAGAATCCCTTTGCACATATTTCCTTTGCACATATTCCCTTTGCACATATTCCCTTTGCACATATTCCCTTTGCACATATCCCCTTTGCACATATTCCCTTTGCCCATGTTCCCTTTGATCATTTTCTCTTTGTCCATTTTCTAATATTCGTACTGGCTGTGTTGTTCTAACATTCATATCTCTTAATGACTCTTCTATCAAGCATATTGCTTGTTGTTGTGCTTCTTTAGTTCCAATAATGGTTACAGCTGTTGTATCATTTGTACTTGATCTTTCAACCTATTGACATTGAATTAAACTTTATTCCTTAGAAACTGTACATGTCAAAAAAATTACAATGTAGCTTGCAAAATAAAAATGTTGTTCATAAAGTATCACTATGTCAAACAATAATATGTATTTTGATGAAGTATTACTGATATATACATATATATCAAAATACATATTACTATAATTATTATAAATACATATTATATATATATATTTATTAATATTTATATATATATTTATTAATATATATAATATATATATTATTTTCAATATTGAAGACAAAAAATATATTTTAAAAAATTCACATAAAAAATTATTTAAGTGATATCTTTTATAAGACTATATTTTGAGCTTTAAAATTATTTAAAATTTATATATTATATGAAACTAGAGAAAATCAAATAATATATAATAAATGCTTACGTGAATTCTCGTATTTGTTCTGTCTTGTAAATCTCTAATATTACTTCCACTTCTGCCAATAAGTCTTCCAACTTTTCCGGTACCGATTTGAATTACAGATTGGTCATATCGTACATTGTAATTATTGCGAGGGAAATTTGGATACCGCTCTCCTCTTCTAAAGGTATTATGTTGATAATTATTCGGTCGTTCATTGTATCTTGCGTTGGGTCTGCTACAGTACGGCTGTGAGTTCATTATTAAGATATTCTTCCTATCTACAAGTGTAAACAATCCTTAGAATTGTATGAATTATTTTTCGCGTATTCACTTTAATTATAGTCAAATAAATTCAGTATATTATGAAAAATTAAAATATATTTAAAGTATAATGTTTTTCATACCTTAAATGTTTGTAATTAATTTCCAACTTAACTTCACTAAACTACTTTCTACCCCAAATGTTGTAACTTTAGGAAGCTCTTCCCAACTAAACGGAAACAAACTGAGGAACGGATGCCTTATGAACCATAGTAGAGGGGCAGTGATCTGCTCATGCCCATTGTTCTAGTTGTTCCACAGTACAGGTACTGCACCATGCGGCCAAGTGCTGAAGTTGTATATGCTAGCATATACGAGAACCTACTTACCCCCTTAGAATTTACTCCTACCACAAATGAGGTACACTCGCTGTGATTCCAGGTTACAAGAGTCTATTTCAAGTTAAGAGAGTCAAGAAAGATTCATAAACACAATATGAACACAACATAGCCGAATTTTATAACAATATCGTGTTTGGTCTCATTTTAATCGAGGAAGTCTTACCAATATGTTAATGGAATTTTTATTAACAAAAAGTCAAAGATAAAGAAATTACATTATTGTATTGATATTGTCTCACCGATACGAAGGCAATATAAATCTTAAAAGAGAAACCATTACCGCGTCACATTACTCGCATCACTGATTCAATTGTAACCACCCCTATTTTTCGGATGATTGAATAATAATCAAAAAACAAAAAAACTGTTTTTGAAATGTTGAAACACGTAAATAAAATCATTAAATTTTGGATTTCTGTCAAATATTAGCAACTAAATACATGTACTTTTTCATCATTATGATATTAAGTGTTTAATGTTAATTATGTTTTCATTGTTTATTCTCTTTTTATTATTCGTCATTCGAATAAATTTTGGTTGCTAATTGGAATAAGTTTATAAACTGAAACAATACAAGCAGAAACAATAACGTGGCGATAAGCTGATGGTGCCATGGACTAGGATTACGGAAAGGGAAAGGTTTTGCCGGGTCTTTGTAAAGTGCTAGTGTAAATTGCTTGCTAATTCGAGCCAAATGGGCTTTCCCCAAATGGGTTTTATTGGGAACGGTTTTTGTAGCTACAAGTACAGGTATAAATGTAGGTAACGATATTTGTATAGAACCATTTTTCACGTGACTGGGCCGGCTTAGCCTGCCAATAAAAACAGTTACATATAAATACATTTTTTTTTTATTTAGTTGTTTACATTCACAATTTGTCCGATTTGGACATTTGGTAGAATTGATATAAATACATTGAAGCAAATGTCCTTGGGTCGGTATAACTTGCTAAGGATATCAGAGGTCATACGACATCGTAGGCAAACAGACCCTAACATTTAGAAATTGCGATGTCTAGTGTATTCGGGTATTCTTTGTAGAATTATTAAGCGAGTGAATGGAATAGACTATCCTGCGCATATTCTACCATCCTGGTTAAACGTGGCTTTTCAAATAAATCGGTATGCATTTATAATAATATCTAAATTATATTCCCTTGAATTCGCTTACATATTTGCCCAGTATTTTTTATTTCATTCAGTTGGGAAACGTATTATACTCGTAATTCTGTTGATACAGAATAAGTTTGAGCAAATGCACAAATTGAACTCAATCTCTTCGATTTCAATGGTAATTTTTTTTAATATGTGACGATTCCAAATAACATATTCTTATATATATAACGAATGCGGAAAACTGTATTAATTGCAAGAATTTCAGGACACAAGTTTTGCGCATGAGAATACTAACTACTTCCTGTGGAAAGCAATCAAAAAAACAGACAACACACGGACTAGAAGCAACGAAGAACGAGCTGAAAAATTTTCCAGCCACCTTTATGACACATTTACTTCATATAATATTAACAACACTAACTCCAAGTGTCATACAGACGTTGACGCAGGAAATACTAGCATCTCAACTAACAAGCACTACACCATACCTAGTACAACAGCACAAAAAATTAGAATCATAATCAAGCACCAGGAATCGACCTAATCAATGGTAAAATCTTAAAAAACCTTCCCCTAAAAGCAATACGATTAATGACAATAACGTTCAATGCAATTTTAAGAATTCAATACTTTCCTACAAAATACTTTCCTATGAAAGCCTCTTACAAACAATCAAAAAACATTTCCCGGAACATATTTTCCACTTATTCAAATCATACCTAAGCAATGGAACCTTGGTAATAAAAATAAAGGACGGTTACTCTGAAGTTAAAGACCTCAAGGAAGGGGTGCCGCAAGGAAGCGTCTTAGGACCAATGTTATATATACTATACACGGCCAACATGCCAACAACTATCAACAGCCAAATTCTGATATTCGAGGACGTTTACCGAATGTCCAAATTAAATAATTAAAAAAAAAGAATAAAAACATTACTACAGATTTACCGAATGTCCAGTTGGATAAATTGTAAAGTACAAATTAAATAATAAAAAAAAAATATTACTACAAGAGCATATCACAAAAATAGAAAAATGGCTGCAAGGTAAACAAATCAAAGCAAACCGCAGTAAATGCAGCCATATTATATTTATACTACGAAAATGGAAACCACTTTTCACAAAACGGGTAGCCATCCACATGTTATTTAGTAATGAACGAAGAAAAATTTACCAAATGTCCATCTGGACAAATCGTAAAGCTCAAACTAAAAATAAAAAAAAAACAAGTTTTGCAATTATACAGATGTAGAAACGACTCTATTTCTGAAAATTGAGATCTTAAACATGCCGAACTTAGAAAATGATATTGAGGATGAAAGAGATAGAGGGACCGAGGGAGTTGAAAGACAAAACTTTCGGAAACATATGTCGGAGATGGAAAGACACCGGACCTTCCCCTGGAACTCCGGGAAAATCCGTAAAATCGTAATTAAAGTTTACAGTTGTAATTAAACAATTTGCTGTCATTCTGCCCAATTGTACTTGTTTGCGATTTGTGATAATAAACTTGGGCTCAAGGCGACCATCAGTCGCCGAACGTAGCCGCGGTCAACGGGAC